GGGGGAGGGCTCTCGGACTTTCCTGCCCAGGCTGGCATCAAACCACTATCCTTAGATCTCAGTTACCTGAGTAGCTAGGATTATAAGCATGAGCCACTGGTGCTCATGAGGGCCCTGTCTTCACTACGTAATCATCTCCCAGTGATTATCCCATTGGAGAGTAAATAGGTTTCAACATACGAATTTGGGGGACACAGACATTTTGGACTACAGAGCACAGATATAGATAGATATTGATTGATATATAGATATAGACATCTATATAGACATCTATATTTATATCTATCTATATCTATTTATCTATCTATCTATTCTGTGTTGATCTCTAGCAAGGAGGAGAGAGCTGCATAGAGCTTGTGTGCCTGATATATCTACTGTTCTATTCCTTTAAGAAAAAAAAAATTGCCAGTCCTTGTAAAGAAATCTTTTTAAGTTCAGAGGAATCCCGTGATAAAAGGATATTTATTTAAGGTTTAATAATTTATTGAGTTTAAATTCAGCCCTTTTCCTCCTAGTAAATTCATGACAAATCTGATAATGTAATTTAAATCCTAGTTTTATATACTGGTGAATCAGTCATACTAAAGATATCAAGGTTGATAGATCACCTAATGATATTTGGCACTGCTTGGAGTCTTTATAATGAATATATAAAATCTATATGAAAAAAAATAAAATTAAGTGGACTTGTATGTGTATGTATGCTGGTCCTAGGGCTTGAATCAGGGCTTGGGTTCTATCCTTTGGCTTTTCTTGTTCAAAGCTATTGCTCTTAACACTTGAGCCACAGCTCCACTTCTGGCTTCTTGCTGGTTAATTGGTGATAAGATTCTCATCGACTTTCCTGCACAGGCTGGTTTTAAACCACAATTCTCAGATCTCAGCCTCCTGGGTAGCTAGGATGACAGGTGTGAGCCACCTGTGTTCAGCTTGTAGTTAATTTTTTATTTGAAAACATTGGAAGCAAATATGCCAAGATATTAACAATGATTAATTTTGGTTGATAGGATGATGATTGCAGTTTTTTCTTTAAGCTTTTCTATGTTTATTAAGTTTTCAAAAATGAGAAGCTATTATAGAACATTTAGGATAAACTAGTAATAAAGTTCTGAATTATAGTTTTGGAAATGGTAATGAAAGATCAGACACAAAGAACATCATTAGGTCAGGCATGGTGGCACACAGCTATAATCCCTGTACTTAGGAGGCTAAGACAAGAAGATCTCAAATTCAAGGCCAGGATAGACTACATAGCAAAACCTTGATTTTAAAAAGAAAAGAAAGAATAAAAAGAGAAGAGAAAAGAAAGGAAAGGAAAGGAAAAAAAGGAAAGAAATAGAAAAGAAAAAAGGGTTGTCATTCTATTTTAAATGATTCATTTTATAACTATGATGCCTTTCCATATTATATTATTGTATGATATATTTCATATATTACACAAACTGCAAAGCATGGTTCTTACATAAAACATAATATGAAGTATAGCATAACTTAAGCAATGAACACTTTATAAAGCTGCATTGTTCCCAACCGACCTTCCCCCCTCCCCCCTGTTCCCTCTCCCCCTTCCCCCCCCCCTCCCCCCCCCCCCCCCCCCGTTGGTTATGGGTCTTGAACTCGGCTTGGGCACTGTCCCTCGGCTCTTCAGCTCAAGGCTAGCACTTTACCACTCTACCACAGTGCCACTTCCGGTTTTCTGGTGGTTAGTTAGAGATAAGAGTCTCACGGACTTTCTTGCCTGGACTGGCTTTGAACCGAGATCCTAGCTAGGATTACAGGTGTGAGCCACCGGTGCCTGGCTTCCCCTCTCTTCTTTTCTCCTTCTTCTGATTCACCCTTGTCCATCTACACAGAGATCTTTGTTGTAGGGAATCTCTTCATGAATTAGTTTGCTGTTTGCTCTGTCTTACCATTCTTTCTACCTAAAACTACATCCTTTTTTCCACCCTGTGTTACTCAATGCACTCTTTCAGTTACTGAATTACTTCTCAACCTTGGCCGAACATCACAATCACCCGGGTAGTGTGTTTGTGTGTTTGTTTGTTTTTTAAATACTGAGTCCCAGGCCCCAGCCAAGCTCTTCTTATTTAATTGTTCTGGGTTGGAGCCCAGGCAGCAGTATTTTTAAAAGACTCCCTGAGTGATTCTAAATATCTAGTCAGGACTGTGAGTTGCAGTAAAGCCTCCTGTAGTACCAATGGGCAGAGTTAATTAGTCCCTCTCCTGCTCACTCAACGCCCTGAGCTTCCACATTGCTCATGAAATTTAATGATCATTGTATTAGAGTTAGTGTTCATAGCAAGTGTTCAGTAAATGTCGAAGGTTCTCACATTCCTTCCCAACCAGGCTTTTACCCTCACCGTGGAACAGGGACAGTGGAGTGGGTGAGTGTTTCACATTCAGTGACACTGTGGGACTTCTTTGAATTTTGTATGACCCTTCCCTCCCAGCCTTCACACACACCCCTCACTGCCTCATCATCAGAGAACCTAGGTCTGGTGTTTTATCTGTTTAGACACCAGGCAATATAAAGAATTAACGTCTGAATCCAAACATTCCTGCCTTCTGTCTCCCTTCTTTGTATCACTGGCCATCAGTTTTGTTGCCGATCCTGCTACTTTAGCTTTCAAGAGCCAATTGTCAACTGTTCTTTACCAAAGGCCTTCTGAAAATCCAGACAAATTATGGTCTGTGCCCCAGACTGCCAAACCTCTAGGTTCCCAGAGGGGACCTTGTGAATGTGTGTACGTGGTGCATGCACACCAATCCTGGGTCTTGAACTCAGGGCCTGGATGCTGTCCCTAGCTTTTCTGTTCAAGGCTAGTGTTCTACCACTTGAGCCACAGCTCCACTTTCTGTCTTTTTGGTAGTTAATTGAAGACGAGTCTTACACACTTCCTTCCCCAAGCAAACTTTGAACCACAATCCTCAAATCCCAGCCTCCTGAGTGGGTAGGATTACAGTTATGAGCCATCAATGGCAGGCCTTGCCCATTTTTATTCATTGCAAGCTTCTGAAATGCTTTTTTCCTTTCTATTAGCATAAATTGTACAAAGGGATTTCATTGTGATATCCACACACATGTATAGATTGTACTTTGGTCAGACTACATGATCATTTGATCTCTCTAGCCTGTATAGGAGTTTTTAGTGAGTTTCATTAAGTTTTTTTCATGTATATCTCTTCTTCTTTTTATTTTTATTTTCCTAGTGTCTGGGCTTGACCCCCTGTCTTGCTCGGCTTTTTTCATCAAGGCTGGCACTCTCCCAGTTGAGCTACACCTCCTGTTCCAGCTTTTTGTTGGTTAATTGGAAATAAGAGTCTCAATGACTTTTCTGCATAGGCTGGCTTCAAATTGAGATCCTCAGATCTCAGCCTCCTGAATAGGTAGGGTTATAGGCATGAGCCACCAGCCTGCAATACCAAACATTGTTGGGCATGTACATATGCTGTCTCTTGGGTGAGTATCTCAGCCTCCCCAGTTAAAGGAGGAAATCCTAGACCCTAGTCAAATCTGCAGGGGAGAAGAGAGGAGGAGAGCTGAATATGAGAAAAAGCAATCCGTTGTATCAGCAAAACCAGAATCCCATAATACCACCTGCATGAATCCCTGGCTGTCAGGAAGACAAGGCTGGCAGGGCTTCCCCTCTTCAAACTCATCTGGAAGGAAGCAGAGTGCATTTAATTGCCTATGCTTTTCTATTAGAATACTATTTCTAACCAAGGGTATAGTTCAGGGGACAAAATGTTTACTCAGCATGTTCTTGGTCCTGGGTTCAATTCCCAGTACCCAAAACAAAACAAACAAATGAGAATTGTATTTATGTATTTGTTTATTTAATATCCTCAGCTCAGAAGTGTTGGGGTGTTGGTTATTGCTGCCCCTCAGAACCACAGCCTGGCAGTAGAGCCCCAGCAGTTGGTTCACAGAGGTACTTCGTTCATGAATATATTTAACTTGTAAGGGAAGTTTCTATCCTAGATTTCAGGAAAATTTCCCTTTCTCTTTTCTTAAGGTCACCAGGACATAATGAGAAATAAGGTGTGGTAAAACTGAGTCCAGTGATGAACTGCAGTATGACACAAATGGATTAATTTTAAATCTGAGCAACCTGTGTTTATCTTGTATACTTTTTGATCCTCTGAAGCAACCCACTAACCTTTCTGTCTTGAGTCATTTATTAAACAACAAACTATTGCCTAGTTCCCTTGGAAGTTATACAAATTAATTAATGTTTGGAAAATGACTTGAAAATTTAAATCGGTCTATAAATATCAGACAGTTGGATTTTTCCCTGCTGGGAGGCCCAGGTAATTCATAACCTCTTTATAATAAAGGTAAAAATAGTGTACTTGGGTTTACAATTAAATGTGATTTATATGCAGTTCATATAGTCTTTACAATCTAGGAACCATTTAACAGGAACAATGCATATTTCATAACTATAATAAAAGCATTTTATGACTTATGAAAAGTAATTATCTACTGTGTGACTGACTGATCTAGACCTGGTGTCTTCAACCATTTCAGAGCTCTTTGTGTCTACTCAAGGTTCATATTTAACCTGTTAATACTGACAGATAAGGTTATCTTTAAATCCTCACTTGACTTCAAGTTCTAATATTTATTTCCTGAGAAATCTGCCTGTATTCAACTTTTCTGTACTACAAACCTCCTATGTCAAGATTTATCACTTTTATATTGTAGTCATTAAAACTGAACAAAATCTTAATAGTCCCTTTATTAACTACCATACTGACTTTGTATAGTTGAAATCACCACATGTTAATTGGATTTAATTAACTATTTTAAACTACACAAAATCTTGACAGTAGACAATAGCACAGGGAACTCATGAGCAATAAAACTGGAGTCAATATTGCTACTTTATTAAAACTTAATGAAACTATTCATAATGTTATTTATTGTTTGCAAGAAGAAAACTGTGTTCGTTGTGAAGACAAAAATATCTACTGAAAACAATTTTCTTATCATCTAGGTGAATATTCAGAAATTAGTCAAAGGGTCCACCATCCCCAGCCTCACAGTTCTGCCATCTGCTCATCGCAATGATCCCCATTTTATCCCCGTACCGGTGTTACAGAGGGATGCCAATAAAGGTTAGTGACCCAATAGCCATGTTGTGATATAGCATTGCACTATAACCAAGGGCCTGGCTCTGGACTCTGGCTCAGTCACTAATTTTCCTTCCTGACCTCAAACAAGTCACACCCTCTGGCCTGAACTTGCCCCTATGTAAACAAGAATGTTGGATTCCTCGGTCACAGGTCACATGGTCCTTCCTGTCTTCAAAAGCCATCATTCTTGGGCTGGGAATGTGGCTCAGTGGTAGAGTGCTTGCCTAGCATGCATGAAGCCCTGGGTTCATTTCCTCAGTATCACGTAAACAGAAAAAGCCAGAAGTAGCTCAAGAGGTAAGGGGTAGTGCCCAGGCCTTGAGTTCAATCCCTAGGACTGGCCAAAAAAAAAAAAAAGACCAAATTCTTCAGGCTTAATATAGATTTTTAGATGGTAGTGTTGTGGTATATTAAAGTTACTATTGTGTTTATGTGATATTATTAGAAGATCTCAAGCTTTTGAGAAGTTTCTATTCTGATGTTATTCTGATAGCATTTAAAACTTATTTTCAGAACACTACCGGGCAGAAATTGAAAGCTAGAATTAATATAACTAGACATTATCTAGTATGTCTTTGTCTAAATTCTAGTTTTAGGAAACCAGTAGATTTCTCAGGGTTTTTTTTTTAATGTTGTTTCTTTTTCTTTTGTTTTGTGTGTCAGTATTGAGGCTTGAACTTGGGTCCAGGATATCCTCCCTTAGCTTTTCTCACTCTACCACTTGAGCCACAGCCACTTCTGGCATTTTGGTGGTTAATTGGACATAAGAGACTCACAGACATTTCTATCCTGGCTGGATTTGATCCATGATCCTCAGATCTCAGCCTCCTGAGTAGCTAGGATCACTGGTGTTTGCTACTGGCACCTGCCTATATTTCTTGTTTTTAAACGAAGTCTTATTGTCTCTTCCTCGGAATCCCTAGTTCCTAGAATTTTATCCAGCATTTTGTAGAACTGAAATGTTGATTGAATGAATAAACAAACGAAGACATAAGTGAACAAATGACTCAATTAAATGTCACAATGTAACCATCTTTACTTTTTCCTCCTGTTTAATTTAATAGGTAAATGTGTTAAAGAATGGCTATTTGGATCTCCTTTCCTAGCTTAAAGATAACTGAGAGAAATGGTCTTCAGCTATTTCTATCTAACTCCTTGTTGTATGAAGTATTTAGTACCCACAGTTAGTTCCCAAGGGTTCTCTGGCATCTGGGATTCAAAGTAATTTATCTTCAACTATTGTTATCTGTCTGCTGACCTCCCTCTGTTATAGTAGAGAACCTTGGATCAGGATAAGTCTCTGAATCTGTCGGGCTTCCCACAACTGTAATTATTTCTTTCCTAGTTATGAATCATTGCTCAGAAATCTTTGTGACACCTGCTTTCTAATTAGCTTATGTAATATTTACTTACTGGGAATACAGAATAATACTAATGGAGCTTCTATTCTGTGCTTCAATTTTATCTTGTATCTTTATTCTGGATCAAATTAGAATAAATGAAATAGTGAATGAATGAACGAATCCATCAATCAGCCCTTACAAATATCCCCTGTTGTCACAGTACTTGATTTTTGTACCCTGCATCTTATATATACATTTGTCTAATCTGGTGAGGGGAAGGGGAATAACAAAACGCTGAAACAAGAACGCAGGATGACCCATTGCAACAAGGATACCCACAGGACAGTATATTGGAAATGAACTTTACAACTTTGGAGGGGAGAAGGGAGGGGAGAGAGGGGAGAGGAGAATTGGAAGTTGGGGAGGATGTGGGACAACATGTGGAAGGGGTAACAATGACCGACAAGTAATATACTCATTGCCTTACTCATATAACAGTAACCCCTCTGCACAGCATCTTTACAATAAAATAAAATAAAAAAATAAAAATAAAAATTACTGCTTGGGGCCAGTGGCTTATACCTGTAATCCTAGCTATACTGAAAGCTGAAATCTGAGGATCACAGTTTGAAGCCAGCCCAGGCAGGAAAGTCAGTGATACTCTTATCTACAGTTAACCACCAAAAAAGCTGGAAGTAGAAGTATAGTTCAAGTGGTAGAAGACTAGTCTTGAGCAATAAGAGTTTAGGGACAGTGCCCAGGCCCTTAGTTCAAACCCTGGGACCAGAACAACAACAACAAAAAAAACCACCCAAAACTATACACCAAAGGTAATTATGGCAACTTGGTCCAAAAAAAACCCACATTTAATATGATTTTATATTTTGTTTAATTTTTTAATCATTTCATTAAAGTAATGATTTTATACTTGATATTAGTTTATAATTTGTATTAATTGTATTTTATATTAATATCTGTCAGGTGTTTAATATTTAATTACATTTAAATTATCTACTAGAGAACACATGGATTATCATAATAATCAGCTAATCAACATATATTTCTGGAGTGCTTGCCACAAAACTGTACAGTTCAATGTAATATGAGCATCTGCGAAGCACATGCCATGGAAATGCTAAATGGATTTTTCAAGTGTTCTTGATGTCCTTCCCCTTGGTCTACACAAGTCCAGCATGAGATAAAAGATTAATAACATCTACAAGCAAAACTGTTTTTGGAAAATCCACAATAAAACTCCCTATAATTTTCTGAATTATCTGATTAAATCCAAAAAAGAAAGCTTCCCTATCACCCAGTGGGTAAAGATACAGGTTTCAAGGTGCACCAATCAAAATTTCAATTCAGGTCCTGTGCAGCCTCAGGCAAGAGGTCTGGATAAAGACTGAACTTGTAAGTGAGGCAGACCTGACCCCTTCATCCTACATCTCCATCCCACACACTCTGCTCTCCAAACCCAATGGGGTTTTCACATCAGGTCTTCAACAAGGATGTTTAGCCTCTGCCTATCAAAGCTACTTTCTCAAGCCTCATCCTTTCCCCTTCACAGATTATTTTACTTTATAATGATGTCTTTATCTGTGAGTCTAGTTACTGTCCTCCCCTCTGGAAGTTCGACACTGTACTCCCAGCCCTCAGAATAGTTCCTGACACATAATAGATAGACCCTTACTTACAAAGTATCAGTTGAGTTAATGACAGCTGAACTTCCACGCTCTAATCTATTCAATAGAAAAGTAAGAGTGGAATAAGGTTATACATAAAAAGTGGTGTCAAAGAAAACATTTTTTTTTCTTTTTTGCTGGTCGTGGGGCCTGAACTCTGGGACTAGGCGCTGTCCCTCAGCTCTTCAGCTCAAGGCAAGCGCTCTACTACGTGAGCCATAGCGCCACTTCCGGCATTTTCTGCCTATGTGGTGCTAAGGAATTGAACCCAGGGCCTCATGCATGCGAGGCAAGCACTCTACCACTGAGCCACCTTCCCAGCCCAAGAAAACATTTTAAAACAAGAGAAATGATAACTCTCACACAAACATACATGTCAAAGATTTTATTTACTAATAAATTTAGAGAAGAAACCTATTAGCTAAGAACTGGTTTAAAGGAGAACTTAAAGAACATTTTTAGTAATTTTTAGTAATATTAAAATAAATTTGTAAATGGTCACAAAACTGGCATTTCAATAAGGTAGGAGAGAGGGGTAGGTATCTCTTCACCAAAAGGATTTTATGTTCATATTTATGGAAAAGAATTATTTAAATGATCACCTTTTACCAATTAATCTTATTACCTACTGAGTTGTAAAGAGTCTAATCTAAGTCAAATTCAGAAACTCTCTGGAGACTCCAACATTCCACTGAATGATTATCCAGTAAAATCTCTGTGTGTGTGTGTGTGTGTGTGTGTGTGTGTGTGTGTGTGTCTGGGGTCTTGAACTCAGGGCCTGGCTGTGTTCCTGAGCTCAAGGATGGTACTTTTGGCTTTGTGGGTAGTTAATTAGAGATAAGTGTCTCACAGACTTTCCTGCTCAGGCTGGCTTTGAATCACAATCATTAAATCTCAGGATTGCAGGAGTAAGCCACTAGTGCCTAATTTAGGAAAGTAATCTTTTGGTTGTTGCAAACCTTAATTTTTTTTTTTTTGGATTGTCATTATCTCCTCTTCTGTCCAAAATGATCACAAATAAAATTATTCACAAAATAAGGCTGGTCTTATTAGCTTTGGCCTAATTATTTTATATTAGTTCAGCAAGCACATCATTTACCACATAGACCACCTTAAGATTATATGGCTAGCAGCTTTCATAAAAAAAAAAATCTAAGATCAGTTGGGTGCCAATCTTAATTGGCAAAATGGCCTGCACCTATCACAGCAGCTTCATGGGAAGCAGAGACTGGAAGGATTGAGGTTCCAGGGCAGAAAAGCTTTCAAGATACCACCTACACAGCGGGACACTGGATGCAGTGTGCAGGCCTGTGATCTCAGTGAAGATGAGAGCTTAAACATAGATAGACCACAGTTCCAGCTTGCCCTTGGTAGGAATAAGACCCTGCCCTTAAATAACCAGTGAACAACAGGGCTGGAGATGTGGCTCAGTGGTATCATGTCAGCCTAGCAAGCAGAAAACCTCCAATACCAAGAAAAAAAAAAGAGAGAATCTAAGATTGAACTTTTAAATTCTCTTATTATTTAGTATCATGAGGCTAGGGAATCAAGGCCAAGAAACTTTATTCTTCAGATTTCAATTGCAAGACCTGTATAATAGGGCATTTTCTTTATTTACAAGATTCTTGGAGGATGTGATCTTTCTTACCATCTGTAAGAGTAATAATCTATTAGCCATGTATGAGACTAGTGTTTCTTGGAGAATGTGGTAAGCATTAGCTCTGTAAGGAAACTAAGTCATGAGGGTATCAGAATAAAGAAAGGGCAGAAAGTGAACTCAACAGATCAATAAGGTTATTCAGGAGTGAAGCCTGGGGAGACCAAACCTCCTTCAGCATGGCTGAAGGGGAAATGGTGTTCCCCCCTCCCCCGCCTTCACCACTAGAGCTCTTTAAATATTAGGCAGAGAGTGAAGTCAGTGGTGGGGTAGGGAGGGGAAGCCGGGTGAGATGGAAGTGGGGTGGGTGAGCAGGGTTATTTTGAGTGAGGAGTTTCAAGTTTTCAAAAGCATCTGTGTTCATCAGGGGCATCAGCATCAGATGCAGCCTTGGTCTCAGGCTCTCTTCCAAGACCACATTGGTCCATTTCTTCAGGGGGAAGGGGAGAGGACATGATTCAGAGGGGGTAAGCAGCAAGGTCAGTTCTAAGATAAGGCTGTCAGGGAGGAAGGTGAGTGCTTTAGGTTAAGTCACTTTCCAACAAGCTCCAGAAGCCCATACAGGTTCATCCTGATTCAATAAACATCATTCTCAAACCTGAAACACCAGGCAAGGCCTTGATTGCCTAAGTGATTTTTTTCCAATTTATATGTTAGTATAAGAATAGATTCTTACTGAAACTCTATGCAAACTGCTAGAAGTGAAGGTAAGGTGACTCAAAAGTTTCTGAATTTGAGAGAAGGGGGAAGCATTTTTTAAGTATTAAAAGTTCAATTTTCTGGGGACTTCAGGAATATCTGATTTATATAAGCACTTATTTATCTCTCTAAACTAATCAAGACAGAGCTCTTTTTTTTTGTTTTGTTTTGGTCAGTCATGGGGCCTGAACTCTGGGACTAGGCACTGTCCCTCAGCTCTTCAGCTCAAGGCGAGCGCTCTACTACTTGAGCCATAGTGCCACTTCCGGCATTTTCTGCTTATGTGGTGCAGAGGAATCGAACCCAGGGCCTCAGGCATGCAAGGCAAGCACTCTACCACTGAGTCACCTTCCCAGCCCAAGACAGAGCTCTTTTGAGAACTTTTTGATTTAATGTGCTAAGGCTAACTGAAGAGAACTTTCCACTTGGCCATGAAAGGTAGTAGGCTTTTTGAATTACAGATACACAGACATTTGGACACAGGGAGCATATAGACCCCACAATTTTTAGCCACATATGAAAAGCATACACAGAAACACTAAATCCTACCAGTACTCTCTTGCTTTGTGGTCATGAAATTCCTAGTTGGGGTGAGCTAAAAAATAAACAGACTAAGAGACTGTATTCTCCACTGACTTTCAACCCAACTGGAAATAGAACTCTTTATAACATTAATCCATCCACAGCAATCACCTAATTCCCAATCACTGAAGCTATCAACAGGAAATAATTTATCATGTGTAAATGAACCAAAAGAGAAAAGCAAATTAATAGAGGGTAGAATTAAAATTAAAAAAAAAAAAAAAGATTCAACGAAGTTTTGTCCATACTTTGAATTCACCATGGGAGCTAAGAATTATGTGCCTGGGAGATGAACCTCCTCTCCTCTCCTCTCCTCTCCTCTCCTCTCCTCTCCTCTCCTCCTCTTCTGTTCTCTTCTTTCTCCCCTCTCTCTCATTTTTTACTCTCTCTCTCTCCCTACCCTCCATCCCTACTCAGTTGTGGAGCTTGAACTCAGGGCTTGGGGGCTGTCCTTGAGCTCTTTTGCTCAAGGCTAGCACTCTACAACTTTGAGCCACAGTGCCACTTCTCGTTTTCTGGTAGTTAATTGGAAATAAGAGTCCCACAGACTTTCCTTCCTCTGCTGGCGTCTGAGTAGCTAGGATTATAGGCATGAGCCACCAGAGCCCAGCCTCTCTTTTATTTTCTCTCTTTTCTTTTCTTTGGGGTAAGAGGTATGCATAGTTAAATAGTTCCAATCACAGGTGTGTTCATGATCTCAGGTGTTAGTCTCAGCATCGGTTAGCCTTATTATCTCAAGAATCATTGATGTACAAAATAATATTTATTGAAACAAACTCCACAAAGTGGGAACAAGAGTTTTTTTTCTTTGTTGCTGTTTTTGTTTTTATTTCCCTTTGTCTTGTTTGTTCGTATATCCGTCTTTGGGAGGGGAAAGGGGGCACAGAAAGGGAGGGTCAAATGGTGAACAAATGCAGCAGTGGGACTCACTAGACACTATGTTGAAAATGAACTATATAACTTGTAGGTGGGATGGGAGGGGGAAAACTGGGAGTGAGGGAGGAAGGGATGGCATTGTCCAAAAAGAAATTTGTTTTTTTTTTTTAATCTGATTTACACTATAATCCCTCTGTACACCGTCTTTACTATAACAATAAATGAATTAAAAGATAAAAACGAGTGATTGGCACCTGAGGGGTAGTCCAGTTCTTCCTGGATTCCAAGATAGTAGCAGTGACTGTTGCTTTAAGAGGTTTTGGTCAAAGATGGGCACCAGTCCACATTAGCTCAAGGTGTTCCACGTTATCTCAGGCTGTTGGTGGCATCTGGTCATGATAAGAAAGCACTGTCTCTTTGAGGAACAGTTTCTTCTTTTGTTACATGATGCTTGTCATTAGTGCTGTCTTTTGGAGAATCCCAAAGTGAGTTGGATGGGGGCTGGGAGAGTCAGGGGGAAAAAAGGTTAAAGAGGCAGAAAAGGTGCAATAAAGCCAAGTATGCTGGTGTCCAGGGCCTTCCTTCAGTATGAGTTCTGGGAATTATATATAAGTAACATTAGTACTAATCATGTTGACCCATAAATGTTGGGCATTTAGATCTTTTGGTGATATAAGGAATATCTAGAGATAACTCTGTGCGCATGTGTGTGTGGCGGGGGGAGGTGGGCCCAGGGGCTTGAATTCAGGGTCTGGGTCCTCAGAGTCCCTGGGCTTTTGTGCACAGGGCTAGTGCTTTACCACTTGAGCCACAGCTCCATGTCTGGCTTTTTGGTGGCTAACTGGAAATAAGAGTCTTTCCTGACCCAGCTGGCTTCAAAACACAATGCGCAGATCTGAACCTCCAGAGTAGCTAGGATTATAGGTGTGAGCCATTAGTGCCTCTTTTGTTTTGCTTTTTTTGTTTTACTATAAAGTATGACTGATTATAACTAGGGGTAGGGTTTTAAGCATACATGTTTTATTTATTTCAGAATCAAAGATCTCTCTAGTTATTAAGAATGTGTGTCTAATTTCTTCCAATTTAAAAGAAGAGTAACAATATTAGCAGTTTGTCTTGAAATTATATATCTACCTTAAAAATAAAATTACCTTAGTGCAACCTTATTTCATATTACTGCTATTAGAAATGACGTTTTTCCTTGGGTTAGAATTTTAAGCTTAAATGAACACACATTGATGCTATGTTTTTGTGTGTGAAAAGAATTAAAGCACTAGAATATAGACTTACAAATAGGATGATGTGGGAAGTAAATTGAACCTGTGAAATCTTCAGCGCCCAGACTTGGAATTGCTTGGAGTTAAACTTATATTCTGTGAACTCTTCTTTTTCTTAGGAATCTTAAGTTTGTTACAACGGGGACTGATTCCTCCAACAGCCAGGATCACCTGGCAAAATCCACCGATCAAACACAAAGCAATTTCTCTGCATAGTTTTAAGGAAGCACACAAGGTCACACCTACAGGTAAGACAAGACACTCTTCGTCAGCTTTTGCTGGGATTTCACAGAAACTCACTCCCCCTAACCTAGCCTTCTCATAGCCAACTTTTATTCTCAATAATAGGATGAGAAGAAAGTTGTAAGTATTGAGTTCCACTTCAGTGAATAAAATAACCTCAGTATATATGGAGAGTCAGTGTTCTGTGTGTGTGTGTGTGTGTGTGTGTGTGTGTGTGTGTGTGTGTGTGTTATGTGAGGAGGTTGATATCTGCAAAAGGCTTGCAGTTTGGTTTGAGAAGCAAGGCAGATGTAATAAAGTTATGCAAGTAATCATTAAAAGCACAACAGGATAAATGTCAGTCAGATGTGGAAGACCAGTGCTATGGAAGTTCAGAGGAATGACTACCAATGGATCAGAGAATAGAAGGCAGCTTGGGAGAGGATGAAGCTGGATTCTGCCAGGAGACTCCTACACAAGAATCTCATGAGCTGCAGGACCTCAGGCAAACCCTTTACTTCCTCTGGGCCTCAGCTTTCTGTTATAGAATGAGGCACTTGGGGCTAAATTAATTTATCTGTTTAATAAATATGTATTAAAGTCTTGCATTTCAAAGTTAGCATTTAGGTACTAGATATCCAACAGAGGGTGAGTTAGATAACATTTTTGTGATTCTGGTGCTTCTATTCTAGTGGAAGATCCAGCCATAAGTAGGTAAGTAAATGAGAATTTAGGCTAGAGACCTAAATGTATGATTTAGAGAGTGAGAGTGAGGGGCAAAGTCAGGGAACGTCTTTCAGAAAGATACAAACCTTGAGCTGATAAGGAAAAGCCAGTCATTTAAATCTCTAGGGGAAAATATTCTAGGTACAGACCAGGACAGGAACAAAGGCTCCAAGGACTAAGAAGTATATGAGGAAGAAAGACAGGACATAAACAAGGGAGAGAGGGGAGAGATCAGACTGGAAAGATGGAGAGAGATGGCATGATGTAGGCTACAGCAGAAACTATGCCTTGCCCTCAAGGTTGGTTCTTCCCTTCTAAGTTAATATGGTTATGGGTAGGAACTAGTCAGCTTGATTAACTATATTTCCCAGTCTTCCTTGCAGCTGGAAATACCATGAGACCCAATTCTGAGGAGGCAAGCATTAAGCAAAAAGAGAAAGTTCTGGGTTAGAACTCCCTTTTTCTCCTCTCTAGCTAGCTGGGATGTGAATCTGACCATAAGAAATGGGCAAACACTTTGAAGCCATCATGTTCAGGCTGACAGAGGTACCAGCTGATGATCTGCCTTTTGATTGTATATGAGACAGAGAAAAAAAAAAACCCTTTAATTTGCTTAAACCACTCAGTGCAAGGCAAGATAGACTAGGGACATGGGAAATGAGAGCAAAAACCAAGGACTTAGAAACCAACAATGTATTAATGTATAGCCTAATTAGGAGTGTACAAACACACAGGTGGGCATAGTGATCAATGCCTGTAATCCCAGATACTGAGGATGCAAAGATTGTGAAGATCACAGTTTGAAGCCAGCTGGGCAGAAAGTTTAGCAAGGCACTCCTTTCAATAAATAAGACAGGTGGGATGTACACATTTGTAATCCCTGTATGGTGGTACATACAGCTAGTATAGGCATGGGTAGAAGGACTGAGGTCTGATGATCATCCCAAGAAAAAGCATGAGGGCTGGGAAGGTGGCTCAGTGGTAGAGTGCTTTCCTTGCATGCATGAGGCCCTGGGTTCGATTCCTCAGCACCACATAAGCAGAAAAAGCTGTAAGTGGTGCTGTGGCTCAAGTGGTAGAGCGCTAGCCTTGAGCTGAAGAGCTGAGGGACAGCGCCCAGGCCCAGAGTTCAAGCCCCATGACCGACAAAATAAAATAAAATAAAAAAGCATGAGACCCTATCTGCAGAATAACTTTTCAAAAAAGCTCTGGTGAAATGGCTCCAATGGTAGAATGCTTGTCTAGCTAACATAAGACCCAGAGTTCAAACTCCAGTACCACCAAAGGAAATGTATAAGCACCATTTTTTTGTCCTTTAAGCTTTATGCATTTTTACAGTAACATTAGTAAAAAAGATGGCTTCCCCACTTTATCCCTGCTCCAATTGGATATTGTGCCCTAGGATCCAGCACGAATACCTTCAAACTGCTGGGTACCCTCCCTCACTTGATCTGATAAAAGTCACAAGAAGTATAAGCCTATGTGGGAAGGACTAGAATTAACCTCTTTCTCAGACTTACTATCTCTGGCAGCTGATAATGATGGGGTTGTACCAGGTTCCTAGAAGAATGGGAACTACAGATCCTAAGGCATGTTCCACAGGATCCCTTTCTCACATCTAGCATTTACATCTTTCCCATTCGTCCAGGCCTGGCCTTGTGGTGTGTTTGTGTTTTCTGCTTTACTTGCTGAATCAATCTCTGATTGATTCTGTACAAGTGGAATCCAAAGAAAGCCAGAATAGTCATACTTTATCACATAAAACAGACTGATTCCAAGTTAGTAAAAAGAAATAGGAAAGGTCCTTTTATGATGATAATATTAAGAAAATAGTAATTCTAAATATACAGTGATCCCTCACGTATGGTGGGAGTTATGTTCCAGAGACACCCTCCCCCCCCCATGATAGGTGAAAATCCCTGAGTAGCAGCATTAGAGAGTCGTCCCTTCACGGATTTTCACCCATCACCAGGGTCTCTGAACTGTGACTCCTGCAGTATGTGAGGGATCACTATTATGCTTTTTTTTTAAATCACGACACAGTTAAGCTGCAGTAAGTGCATCATGAGATAGCTAGGGACAACTGTATGCACATATGTGTATACACATGTATGCATACACACACATATACCTTATATCCACATATATTACATGTACACATATGCATGTGTTAAATATGTTAAATATACACATACATATGTATGTATACACACACATATACCTTATATCCACATATATTACATGTGCACATATGCATGTGTTAAATATGTTAAATATACACATACATATATGTATATGTACACATATACCTTATATCCACATATATTACATGTACACATATGCATGTGTTAAATACGTTAAATATACACATACATATATGTATACGTACACATATACCTTATATCCACATATATTACATGTACACATATGCATGTGTTAAATACGTTAAATATACACATACATATATGTATACGTACACATATACCTTATATCCACATATATTACATGTACACATATGCATGTGTTAAATACGTTAAATATACACATACATATATGTATACGTACACATATACCTTATATCCACATATATTACATGTACACATATGCATGTGTTAAATACGTTAAATATACACATACATATATGTATACGTACACATATACCTTATATCCACATATATTACATGTACACATATGCATGTGTTAAATACGTTAAATATACACATACATATATGTATACGTACACATATACCTTATATCCACATATATTACATGTACACATATGCATGTGTTAAATACGTTAAATATACACATACATATATGTATACATACACATATACCTTATATCCACATATATTACATGTACACATATGCATGTGTTAAATACGTTAAATATACACATACATATATGTATACACACACATATACCTTATATCCACATATATTACATGTACACATATGCATGTGTTAAATATGTTAAATATACACATACATATATGTATACACACACATATACCTTATATCCACATATATTACATGTACACATATGCATGTGTTAAATATGTTAAATATACACATACATATATGTATACACACACATATACCTTATATCCACATATATTACATGTACACATATGCATGTGTTAAATATGTTAAATATACACATACATATATGTATACACACACATATACCTTATATCCACATATATTACATGTACACATATGCATGTGTTAAATATGTTAAATATACACATACATATATGTATACACACACATATACCTTATATCCACATATATTACATGTACACATATGCATGTGTTAAATATGTTAAATATACACATACATATATGTATACACACACATATACCTTATATCCACATATATTACATGTACACATATGCATGTGTTAAATATGTTAAATATACACATACATATATGTATACACACACATATACCTTATATCCACATATATTACATGTACACATATGCATGTGTTAAATATGTTAAATATACACATACATATATGTATACACACATATACCTTATATCCACATATATTACATGTACACATATGCATGTGTTAAATATGTTAAATATACACATACATATATGTATACACACACATATACCTTATATCCACATATATTACATGTACACATATGCATGTGTTAAATATGTTAAATATACACATACATATATGTATACACACATATACCTTATATCCACATATATTACATGTACACATATGCATGTGTTAAATATGTTAAATATACACATACATATATGTATATATACCCAGTATCATACATATGCATACATATTTGTGTGTGTATGTTATACCCATTATACATGTATACATATATACCCAATATTAGTCCCCAATATTATATACCATTTTAGTTGGGGACTGTCACGCACCGCTTTTAGCAAGGGATTACCCACAGACAAAATTGAGAAATAGCAGAGTTGAATGCACCCTAGAAACAAATACTGTATGGAACATCTACAGAATAGTCCATCCAATGGCTGATTATACAGTTACCTTATCAGCACATGGAACATTCTCCAGGTCGCAAAGCAAGTCTCAAACATTAAAAAAAAGAATTAAAATAATCAGAAACATTCCTAACCATAGCATTAGAGAAAAACTCTGAAAGCTCTGCAGTGCATGGAAATTGAACAATTTATATTTGAACAACCAACGGAATTCTACCCCAAATTCTACCCGGAAAAACTCTGGAAGCTATGAAGTACATGGAAATGAAACAATTTACATTTGAACAACCAATGGAATTCTACCCAAATTCTTCTAGAAAATAGGAAGAAAAATGTTTGAGATCATTTTATATAGTCAAAAATTCTCTGATGCCAGCCAGGTGCCTGAGGCTATAATCCTAGCTACTCAGGAGGCTGAGATCTAAAGATTGTGGTTTGAAGCTAGCCCATGCAGGAAAGTTCATGGGAGTCTTATCTGCAATTAACCACCAAAAAAAAATTAAAAAGCCAGAAGTGGAGCTGTGGGTCAAGTGGTCGAGTGCCCAAGCTCTGAGTTAGAGCCTCAGCACCAGCATAATAAAACAAAACACCCTGATATCACAAGAGAAGCAGACATGGTGGGGGGGGAGGGGAAGGGGGAGGAGGGGAAGGGATAGGAAGGGGAAACAAAGGAGGAGGCCACAATGCTTGATAAGAAATGTACTCACTATCTTGCCCATGTAACTGTAACCCCTCTGTACAGTATTTTCACAATAAAGAATAAAAATAAAAAAATAAAAAAAGAGAAGCAGACAAAATAACTACAGCCTAAATTCTTCCATAGCAAATGGAATCTGGTATGATTTTCAAATATTTTTACTTGTTCTGTGTGTGTGTGTGTGTGTGTGTGTGTGTGTGTGTGTGTGTGTGTGTGTGTGTGTGTGTGTGTGTGTGTGTGTGCGCGCGCGTGCCCTGGGGCTTGAACTCAGGGCCTTCAGATTTCAAACTCTTAAGTTGCTAGGATTACAGGTGTGAGCCATTGGTACCTAACTGTATTATCTTTAAAAAAAAAAATACCATGCGATTACCAGTTCTAGTGGCTCATACCTGTAATCTTAGCTACGTAAGAGGTGGAGACTTGGAGGAACATGTTCAAAGACAACCTGGACAGAAAAATCCACAAGACTCTTTTTTTTTTTTTTTGGTGTGTGGGGGAGGGTGGTCTGGTTGTGGAGCCTGAACTCTGGGCCCGCATAGATAAGTAGAATTACAAGCATACGCTACCAATGCCCAGCTCCCTGAACTTTTATTTGCCTCCAAATTGTGTTTATTATGTCACTATTTTTAAAGTTATCTGGTCAATATATTGATAGTAAGATTATTCTTTATTCATCTCTAGCTACATATAAGTTTTTTTTTTTTACCTTTTATTTTGCAGATATGCTTTTTTTTGGGGGGGGGTTCCAGTCGTGGGCCTGAACTCTAGGTCTCAGCTCTTCACCTCAAGGTTAGCACCACATAAGCAAAAAGAAAAAAGCCAGAAGTGGTGCTGTGGCTCAAGTGGTAGAGTGCTAGCCTTGAGCAGAAGAGCTGAGGGACAGTGCCCAGGCCCAAAGTTCAGGCCCCACGACCAGACCCCCCCACCAAAAAAAAGAAGGCAGAAGTGGGGATACAGTTTGTGGCAGAGGGTAGAATACTAGCCTTGAGGAAAAAAAAAACCTCAGGGACTGTACCCAGGCCTTTAGTTCAAGCCCCAGAACTGTTACACACACACACACACACACACACACACACACACACACACACACACACACACACAGAAAAAAAAGGCTGAAAATGTGCCTGTGGCCCACTTGAGGCAGTCAAAACTAGGGCTTCAAAACAGGACTCTGGACTACATCCTAACAACCCTTACTGGAATGCTGGTTTTTATCATGTTTGTCAATTCTTTCAAAGATTGTTGTTAGAGAACCAACAGAAAAAAAAAGGAATTGAGTTGAAGGAATTAAGATGAAAAAAACTTAACTGCTTTTACTCGATTAATCATTTATCTAAATTTTTTGTTCCCCTTCTTGAAAAGAGTAATCTAAGGATTTTTCTCCCTGGAGTATGCCAAGCACTGGCTGTTTGTAAAGGGGAGTGGAGTTTGCTGCAGGCGGCTAGGGAGATGGGATTGAAAAACCCTTAGCTAGCATGAAGGTCTCCCGCCCCATGCACTCAATATGTTCTCAAAAAGTGGTTGCTTGTAGATTTAATTAATTTCAAAAATAATCTTTATGGTGCCATGCACCTGTATTACTTCCCCAAGTCACTTAAAATTTTCAGTCATGTATTGTAAATAGCTATTATAAATAGTCTATCACATGCAACTCTATTAATTATCTTGTACATGAACTTGGGACTATTTCTATTCAAAGAAGCCTTAAAAAGCCAGGCATGGGTGGCTCATACCTGCAATCCTAGCTACTCAGGAGGCGGAGACCTGAGGATCACAGTTTGAAGCCAGCTAGGGCAGGAAAGTCTATGGGACTTGTCAACTTGTCCAATTAACCACCAAAAAGATGGAAATAAAGTTATAGCAGAAGTAATAGAGTACCAGCCTTGAGCAGAGAACTAAGGGACAGTGCCCAGACTCCAAGTCTAAGCCCCAGTACCAGCACATACACAAAAAACCTTATAGTGAAGTGTTTTGTAGGCCAACCATTACCTTCTAATTTGCCTGCTCTTTTGGATCTGCCTTTTCACATAGGCAGTTTGCAAAAGGCCAACTAACCTGGCATCTGATGGAATTATGGGACTCCCCTGCTTTGGCTTTCCCTTTTAAGTCCTTGGTCATTGATGGTTCATGGAATGGATGCGGGAAAGACTGACAGCTGGAGACAGTGCTATTTGACTTCCAGGGTGCAACCCTAAGAACATGCACCCTAGGCCTCCGTCCTTCTTTCTGAAAGAGGTAACATTGCCCTACCTCCATCCACAGCCCCCTTCAAGACAGTCCAGAAACCACCCCTGACTGTACCAGAAGATGCTTCCAAGAAGAAACCACAGCTAAAGGTATTCATATCTAACTTCAGAAAGGAAAACATTCTGATTTACAATATTACTTGTGAGATTATTTTTTAGGGGGGAGTATAATATCTGTATAGTATAGAGCAGCTGGAGCTGCTGCTGGGTGTTATATTCCATTGTGCTATATTGTTGTTTATGTTATGTAATGTTATGTTATACTTTGTTTTGTTGTGTTTTATGTTATACATTAACAGTGTTATTTTAATGTTTTCTGTTATGTTTCTGTGATGCTTGGGATAAAACCCAGGGCCTCCTATGTGCTAAGAAAGCTCTCTGTCACTGAGTTATATAGTTAGCCCCTGATTTTAGAAAGGGGGATTATTGTATCATTTGATGCCACTGTGACACTTATCAGTGAAATCTAAATCATTCAGTCCTGTCACATCATTGTGAGACTCACTAAGTGACTAAGTCAGCTGATATTAATACCTGGTCACAGTTCCAGGAGTCTAGGATATAAGAGCTATTGCTTACATGCAAATTTGTGTTGTACTGGGTGTGTCTCTGAAGTCTTGTGATTTTGTTTTTAAGCCTAGGCTAACAAGAAGGCCTCCACAAAGAAGAGGAAGGTGTTCTGTATTCTTTAACACTTGCACCCCTCACAGTACAATGTAATTCAATCCTGTGATGGCACCCCTAGTTTAAAGGTGGTGCACTTTTGTAGTAGGCTTTCTCATGCCCATGGGCCACAATCAGACTTGTGATCATTGAAACTTTTCACCACAAAAAGGAGATATCTGGCCATGTCATTTCTCAGCTTACCCAATGTGGTCTTGTTTTTGTTTATTTGTTTGTTTTCAGCTGCTCTCATAAAATAAATAAATAGAAACAGAAAAACAGAAAAAAAGAATTGCAGAGTGCCATCGAAGAAATTAAATCTAGCTGTGTCTCCACCGTCAATGGCTACCTGTTCTTCCTGGACCTTCACTTTCTAACACACAAATCTTCCTCAAGAGGCTCTCTGTATTTTTGGCACTGGTGGGCTGTTTCTCCTGAAAGAGATTTCCAGGCTGTTTATGTAGTAGCATACCATGTGATACCCCAGTTGCCAGGGAAAATATTTGTATTTCATGAAAAATGTGGGTAAAAAAAAATGTAAATGTGTAGATCCCAAGACAGACAGGCCTTCAGGCAGTGCTTGGCCAGCACCATTATTGTTTTAGATTCAGCTGTTTAACAGGCTGTGAGGTGGCCACGGGCTAATGTGCAGAATGGAAAGTCTGAGGAAGGCACCTGTTTTGATTCTCACCCTGTTTGGATGCGCAGATTCTACAGTTTCATAAAAGACATTCCTACAAGTAATACAAATATCATGACTAGGTTTTAGTCAGTATGCAGTTGGCCTCAAAAATATTTTTAATAATAACATTTTTTGAATGCTAATTAGCTCTCCTTTTAATCCCCTACTGCTAGAAGCAGTAATATTTAAAGACTGTGGTCCCAGATTGGTACAATATTTCTGAATTGGCTATTTAGTGTAGCTGTAATTATTCATATACTTGGTGGAAAATGGACTGGGCATGGAAGATAAGGTAAGTGAAAGATGGAACCTATAGAGATATAAGCCAGAGACTGCATAGACCTCTGAGACACCAGAGTCCACCACCAGCAAGAGTAGTGCTGTGTGAATTGTGCCTTGCCATCTGACTATACTTGTTTTTTGTCAATATTTACTTTGTCAAACTCTTTCCTCAAAGCATATGGGGCTTGGCAAGCCGAGCTCATTGTCTAGGGTGGGAAAGGTCTTTCTAATGATTAGCTCCTGCTTGTAGGGAAAGAGGGAACAGGCTGGCCCAGCAGGGAAAACAGGGAAAGGGAAGGGAGGGGGAGGGAGGCGATTGTAAGCCTTCTATTTGTTTTGTAAAATGGCCCTTGAGAGTCATTTTGATTTAAACCACGTCTTATTCTTCATTGTAGGGGAGAGGCAGAAGCATAACAGAATATCCTGAACAGGTTTGTAATTTGTGTGACTAGTTGAAATTTGGAATTTGTCACCTGATGTCCCTTGCTTTAGCTGCAGGGCAAAACTATGGGGTGGCAAGGGGTGGGGGCGGGGGGAGAAAGGCTGCCTGACAGCTGGGACAGCAACAAAAGTTCTTTTGGCTTCCTTTCCAAAAGAAATTGGATCATGCTTCAGGAAAAAAAAAAAAAAAATCCCACCATGGTTCACTTAAGGTGAAAAACCTCCCTTTTGCGGTGGATCTATAATCCAAACAAATGGCTCAGTAGCCTCAAAATGTGGTCAACTCACATCAGTGATCTGATTATTTATTTTGATTGAGGTTATAACCTCCACCAAAGAATTTCATTCTTTCAAAGTACATTTATCACGGAAAATGTTAAAAAATAAATTCAATTGTTCCCTAGCATGTGCTTCTATGTGTGCATGTGTACATGTGTGCGTACGCATCAAACAGGTACAAACCCAGCATTTGTAATTGGGGTGACCTAGGACATGAGACTTAAAATTTAAAGTTATGTCAACCACAGCTAGTAACAACACAAAAAAAGCTACAAAAATGTAGTAGTCCCCACAAAAGGCAAGCAGAAGCCATCAAGCAATGCTCCATTGGCTATAAACCCTGAACTTGAAACTGGAGCATGTTGGGTTCTTTTCCTGAGAGGAGATGGAATTAGATTTGGCAAGTCACTTAAACTCTCTGAACCCCATTTTTTCCCTCTGACTAGTGGGGTGACGCTGTTGCCTTTCTCATAATACTCCTGAAAGGACTAACTCGGTTCTTTTATGGGAGAGTGTTTTGAAAGTATAAAGCACTCTGGCCATAACTCAGTGGCTCATTTTAAAGAGTATTTTATAGCCTTTCTCTTCATAGTGATTTTCTTATCAGTAAAAATTTTAGAGGGAAGCCAGCTGCCAGTAGCTCACACCTGTAATCTAGCTACTCAGGAGGCTGAGATCTGCGGATCACGGTTAAAGCCTGCCTGAGCAGACAAATCTCTGAGGCTCTTCTTTCCAATTAAACTACTGGAAAGTAGTTTAAAAGCTGGAAGTGGATTTTTGGCGCAAGTGGCAGAGTGCCAGCCTTGACCGAAAAGAGCATGCAAGAGCCAGAGAACCTGAGTTCAAGCCCACGTACCAACACACACACACACACACACACACACACACACACACACACACACACACACACACGAAAATGACAACAAAGAGTTTCAGAGGCAAGTGAGCCACCTCCTTTCAAGGAAAGAGCCCACCTTTTGGGTACCCTTTTATGCCTACAGGTCTGTTACTAGATAGGACTGTGTTTACAATGATTGTAAACCGTCTTACTGAACCTCAACAAATTGCTTCTAAATAAAAATCAGTGCAATTAGATCTTCGTTCTCCTTCCATTGACTTCTTATTTTGAGGAAATTATGAAGCATATTTGCAAAGCTAGCTATGCACAAGTCACTAAACACCAGCCCTTCTGGCAACCCAGAGCCTCTGTGCAGTCATTACCCCTATGGAAAAGGGTTGATAGAGTGAGGCTTCAAACTCATTGCTCTTGGCTCATGCCAGGTTACAATCTTTTCCCTGTGGCCAGTTCGCCAAATACGACTACTACTGTCATGGCCACTGCTACTATTACTGTCTACAGCAACTAATACATACAGAGTACTTTCTCTGTTCTGGGCTCTGTTCTTGGCATCTTAAGTGGGTTACTTCACTTCATTTTTCCAACATCTCTATGCTATAGGTACCATGTTATTTTCATGTTACTGGGATACAGAGAGATTAAGTCATCAAGTAACTGAAATGACAGATCCAGTATAAAAACTAGACTAAATGACCCCAAAGCATTAGAAACATCTTCAAACCTCAATCATTTTTTTATGACAATCTTTCTAAAAATATATCACATCTCTGCCTACCTTATATAATTTAACATATTCTCTGGCCAATGTCATGTACAGAGATGATCGATTATTTCGGTATTTTTAAAATCACATCCTCTGATTTGTCTACTTGTATTAGCTCTAATGGTTACCAACCTCTTTCATTGTCTGGATTATTTAAACAAATAGCAAAAACTCGAGAAGTTGAAGTTTGAGTCTGTTAGGTTGATCCTAAGTTTTACAAAAAGTAAAACTATATTAGAGTTTATAACTTGTTATTTCAAGAATTTGAGGAATCTTTGCTTGATTTTTTGTCCAGTCCTGGGGTTTGAACTCAAGGCCTAGGTGCTATCCCTGAGCTTTTTTGATCAAAGCTAGCACTTTGCCACTTAAGCCACAGTTCCACTTCTGGATTTTTAGTGGTTAGCTAGAGCTAAGAGTCTCATGGACTTTACTGTCCAGGGCCAGCTTTGAGCCATGATCTTCAAATCTCAGTCTCCTGACTAACTAGGATTATAGGCATAAGACACTGGCATCCAACTTCTTTTTATTATCTCAAATCAGGTACCTAACAACTCCGTTAAGATTCTCTTAACTTTAATTAATATGGATAATTACTTTCACATGTAAAGCAAGTAAACAAATCTATTTACTAAATACAGACTACATTTGTAGTCTGTTTGCTTCTTGGGTGAGAGAGAGAAGAATGGGACTAAAATGAAAGAGGAAACCTCAGTTATCTATATCTATATCTATAGATATAGATATAGATATATATATGTGTGTGTGTATGTCCGTTTTATATTTATGTGTTTGTATAAGTCAGTTTTTATTTATTTTTTATCATAAATCTTAATATGAGTGTGCCTCATAGAAAGCAAGAATTAAAATGCATGAGGGAGTTTTTAATATTCTTCTCTGAATGTTTAAAACTTTTCCAAATTAAAATCCAAATTTAAGAAACAATGAGGAGAAAATCCTATTTTCTAAGCCAGACTCTATTGTAAAATTCCCTCTTGTATAAGAAGAAGACATTTGGATGGTACTGTTTTGGGGGATGGTTAGCAGGATTCATTTTAGTATAACAGGGTTAAAGAAGGGAGAAATGGGGAAGAGGGCAAAACATTTCTGCTCCTTGTGCGAGATAGGAGAAGTAAAGACACCAGGATATTTCGATATCAAGCTTGTAATCTCATTTAGTCCTTTGGATATTTTTTGCTATTGTTGTTTGTTTCTGCATATGTTTTTGTTTTGGGGACTGTGGGTTGAGCTCAGGGTCTTGTGCTCACTAGGCAAGCATTTGTGTTACACCTCCAGCCATTTTCCACCTACAGTCTCACTGTTTGTCCTGGGCAGGACTTAGATTGCAATCCCATCCCTAGGTCTTCTTTGCAGCGGGGATAGCAGCGGCTTACCAACACATTAGGATTATTTGTTGAGATGAAGATCCCATTCATTTTTTGCTCCGGCTGGCCTCTGACTTTAATCCTTCCAAACTCGGTCTCCCACAAAACTGGGATTATAGGCATGGGCTATCATGCGTCAACTTCTGTTTTCTCTCTTTCATGTCAAATTGTTATGTTTGAACAAAATGTTCCAGAACTTAAAATAAATATTTAAAGGTTTCCCAGATGATATATAATAGCAGTTTGGGTTTTAGCATATCTTGTCTGGTAGGGGAATGGCCTATCTCTTATAGTTGCTCCCTGGCAACTTTGTGTTATGGCACAATCTAGCAGAGTTTTTTGTTTGTTTGTTTTGTCTTTGTCATCCCTAAAAGGTTCGAAAGAGGGCAGACATTACTCTGATGACAAGAATGCAGCCTGGAACTATAATGTGAGATTCTAAAGCCAGAGCTAGGCAAGGTAGTACACAGCTATAATTCCACTGGAGGCAGAGGCAAGAGGATTGCAAGTTGGAGGCCAGTCCCAGCAAAGTTAGTGAGGAGACACTTATCTCAAAACTAAAATGAAAACAGATGGGCTGGCAGCACAGCTCAAGGATAGTGTGCTTGCCCACTATGAGGTAGACCCTGGGTTCATTCCCCAGTGCCCCAAAATGCAAATTCGAGGCTAGTTTTTCCTCTTTTAGACTTATTTTCTTTCATGAAACTCTATTTAAAAGTGAGGAAACAGAAGATAATGTATAAAAGGAAATGTACTCATTACCTGACTCATGTAATTATAATCCTTCTGTATATCACCTTTATAATAACAACAGAGTAAATAATAAATAAATAGAAACCCCATTTAAGGAATAAAAAGTGTATAAACTTTAAAAAAACTATTTTACCTATTTCATTAGGAATTACTATACTACCTACCTTCCTTTTTAGCATCAGCTTTTCAAAGTGAACTTAATTATATGGTTTTATTTGAAAAACAAGTATTTTCTTGCAAGATGCAATTGACTGAAGAAGGATTGTTTTTACAATCCTCACAGCACTGCCTAACTGCTCATTTTTATTGCCTGTGATTAATGATTTTACTCATGTATTCCAGAAAAAAGGTTAAATTATCAGCAAGCCATGAGATAATCTTTATTTTTTTAACTTTCTCTCTTTCATTTTACAAATTATGACCTGCTCATTCATGAGGAATTTGGAAAATTCTTGAAGGAGAAAAAAAGTACCAAAGTATACAAGAAATTTTTCATAACATCACAACTCTTGGGCATTAGCTAAGCTTTGCTTGTTCCTTTATTTAAATCTTATATGTTCAACTGTGGTTTTTACTCTCTTTACCTAACTTAACCCTTTACAGATATGAATTAGTACTCTAAAATATTTCAATGGCTATATAATATTCTATTATTATAATTTAATATATTAAAATATGCCATCATTTTCTTAGCCATTATCATATCATTCAACCTTGAATTATAAATGTCAGTGAACTCACATGATTATAGAAGAGTCTTGTGCTATAAAAGTGAATCCAAGTATCTATGAACTTAATTTTGTGTGTGTGTGGGTATGTTCTGGTACTGGGACTTTAACTTAGGGCCTGGACACTGTCCCTTAGCTTTTTCCACTCAAAGATAATGCTGTAATACTTGAGCTATACTCCCTCTTTCAGATTTTTGCTGGTTAATTGGAAATTAGAAGCTCATAT